AAATATCGAAAAATATACAGCGCGCGAATTTTAAATGAGAATTTCCGAAAACTTTTCAGTCTTAATGTATATTACAATTAGCATTATCCGACAACGATAAAATATTTAAATCCATGGATAAAAAAGAATTTAAAGAAATAATAAATAAGTTGCAAGGAGAGAATAACAACAATATACTATGCTGACTAACTGAAAGCACGTCTAAGACCATCTCTTAATAATGCGAGAAACTACCTATAAAAGAAACTACCTTTAAAAGAAACTACCTATAAAAGTTATAAACAAAAGACATTTAACAAAAAGTAATACCAATCAGACTAAAGTAAAGATAGGAGATGAAATATTAGTAGAAGCACAAAATAGACGAAAAGGTACAAGTCCATGTTGTGTGTCTAGTCTAGCTAGATATATTAACATAAAATATTGTTACTTTACAGACCATTTTTGTGGGGTGTATGTAATGTAAAATGAATTTAAAAATAGAAGTCAATTCTGCAAACAAGGCGGAAGCATTGTTGCAAAATATTATTAAGTTCAGCTATTGAACTAAATATTTATTTTATGCAAAATTGCATGGACCGAATATTAGTAGTTACCAAAAGGTAACTGGGTCCATACTTAACCTTCAATTTTCTGCAGAACTGTAGAAAATAATGGAAATTTCCGATCATGCATTACGCATTATGATCAATGTTTTCACTGTTTCCAAAAGGTGAAAACGTGGGTGGGAGTTTCCAAACCGATCAGTTGTTTTTTGGCAGTTGTGTAAACAATAAATGAAAATTTAAATAAATGTGGAAATAACAGAAAATTAAATGTTAAGGGTTTCATTTTAACGTAATTGAGGTAATAACAAACAGTATCGAGAACAACAACCACAGCATCAATATCAGCAACTACAATAGCAACGTCACACACGACCTCACCAATAGCGACAGCGGGTGTACTACTAATTGTTTTTGGGTGGTCTGTTGGGAAGACCCGTATGTTTTCACTGGCGATAATGACGGGTCCTCCCAACAGACTACCCAAAAACAATTAGTAGTACACCCGCTGTCGCTATTGGTGAGGTCATGTGTGACGTTGCTATTATAGTTGCTGATATTGATGCTGTGGTTGTTGATATAAAGTAATAGATATCCAAGGTAGCAATACTGTAATTAAAAACGGCAATGAAACAAAAGCATTACATAAGAATAACACAAAGTTATTTCAAAGATAAAATAAATTTTTTTTTTGATTATTATCGTTAAGTAAGGTTGTAACGAACCTTTTCCGCCAAGGTTTCGATCGCCTGATCCCAGGTTCAGTCCAATAAATTTTCCTTGATAGGAACAGTGGAAAGTAAATGATTTAGTGGTAGAGAAATAGAGTTTTATCTTCTTATAAATAAGATCTGGTACGAAATGTGAATTTCGTATCCACGACGGTGAGTTAATGAATTCCTGATAGAAATGTCGATATCTCTTCACCTATAAATAAGATTTGACACGAAATGTCAATTCTGTGTCCACGACGGAGAGTTAATAAATTGGTGATAGAGATGTGAATTTTTGTCCACCTATAAAGTTTACCGAAAGTAGAGAAGTAAATTTCTACTTGTGTCAGATTTAGCACTAAGATTTAGCACTTAGTGAATCGGTATTGATGCTAGCTCAATGCTTTGCTAACTGCCTCCTGAGAATGACTGTTGCAAAAAATGTAGATTCTTAGCAGTATAATTGATTTTGTGTTAGTATAATGTTCTTATGGTTTTATTAAATTGATAAATAAAAGACACGTCATAGAAGTTCAACTCATTATTCATAACTATGTCTTACATTCTTAAAACTTCTTAAAACTGCCCTAAAATACCATGCGCACAAGCGCACATATGCTTACCTACATAGGCATTATTCTTTTATGTACAGAGTAGCATGCATGCACTAGCAAATATATAACAATATAACTTCGTTGCGCAATCGATATTGTTGTTCGGGCGATAAGCACTAGAAATATGCTAGGTAAGTACATTCCATGTCGCTGGTCATAACAAAGTATGTCTGAAATTAGTTACTTAGATGCATATACGCTACATTAGTAATGTGGATTTCTATGAAAATGCATTAGGCAGCACTAGTAATACTATATGATCGCAAATTCACTGTGGTACTAACTGTCTCATGAGAATGACTGTTGAAGGAATATAGATTCTTAGCAGTGTAATTGATTTTGTGTTAGAAATGTGGATTTCTAACACAAATAAAATAAATAAATAAATAATATTATTTCTATATTTTAGTAATTTAACTTTAACTTCAATATTTATTAATTTCATTTAATTGTATATATACAGTGAATATTTTATTTTGAATATAAATATATAAATAAAATAAATATTAAATAGTAATATTATATAAGAATCATTATACAAGAATATTATATAACTAAATGTAAACAAAAATTTTATATCAAATATATGTATATATAATAATATTACCTAATTCTATGCTGTATTTTACGAATAAATTGAAACTTTTACTAAATATAGAATACTAAAAGAAATATAACAATAAATTAAATATTTTTACTTACTTATCGTCGTTGGTCAATTCAAAATTTTTTTATTAAATTACTCATTTCTAAAGTTTCTTTTTAAAGGGTGAGGGTGTCGCGTCATATTACCCTTGAACACACACAATGTACTGTGTGCGGTAATTAGCATGACACATTTACCCAAAATCATTTAAGTTTCCATCTGTGTGTTGTTAGGACGGAAATTGACATTAAATTTCCGCCTACATAAATATACATTGGACACTTCACTTTGGTACAAACATTACAATGGACTAAAAAAAATACCACCACAACATAGTTTTATCTATTTTACGCACAACACAGCTGCTATTATCACAAACACCTAATATAACACTTACTGGTAACAAATGTTGAAGGTACCTGAAATAAAGTTCACTAAATAAATATTAAACATATTTATTATAAACTACTTACCAAAACCCACCCGCGCATGAAACTAATTGCAGCATGAACCATCAACATAACCAAGTGATCTGCAAGTACATTGAATTAAAATTTAAAAGTTAAAAATATAATTAATTAAATGAATAATATATTTACCTTATTTATTTATGAATTATATTTATATTTTGTTGTGAATACATTCTAATATTTATTAAATTAAATTAAAAATTACAAAATTAGCACCGAATGTATTTTAAATCACGTTTTACAATAATAAAAACAAAGCAGCATAATAGCGAAATAAGAAAACAAGAACTGCCAAAAATATTCGCCGTAAGAGAAACTCAAAGAAAAGTAAAATGCACAAGCTGGATACCGCACACAACATTAAACAAAAAATTACAGAACAACAAAGCAAACAAGACTTGTATGACATCAGCTGTAAACATAATGATACGCTACGAAAAAGCTCGGGCAGTAGGATATTTAAGAAGTACATTTTTGCTCAGACGGAAAATACAACAGCTGGAAAATACAAGTTCAAATTAGCACTAGTTGCACATAGAAAAATCTGTATATAAAGAAATTAATCAAACAAAGGAATATATCCATATCAGGGTATAAACAAAGGAGTAACTCACATTTAAAATTATAGCGTTACGATCGGATGTAGTACGCCTACTGCAAGTGAAATAATTTTTAATTAAAACACAAAGGAATATATCCATATCAGATTATATTCAAACGAAAGAATAATTTACATTTAAAATTATAGCACTGCGATCGGCTGTAATACGTCTACTGCAAGTGAAATAATTCTTAATTAAAATACAAAAGAATATTTCCATATAAGGATCTATTTAATTGAAGGTATTTAATCAGAAATTAAATCGTTACAACCGGCTGTAGCACGTCTACTGTAGTCGACGACATTCAAGTCAAATACAAAAAAATATTTCCATATAAGAATCCACGGCTTAAAAACTAGGAAGGTGCTCAGTTGACCACGAGCACCGGGTAAAACATTCCCGGTGTTGACCTTATGACAGCGTACCTTCCCAGGGCAGCAGGCGTCGAAAACGAAAAACTGCTAAAGCTGATGGTAATACAGAATGAAGGACTCCACACACATCTGTGGAGAATACTCAAAAGCAAGGAGATGAAGAATGGGAAGCTGCTAATGATTGGGATCGACGACCGATCGTTAGAAGCTATAAGAACGACAAACTGTAGAATCGCCTACAGGTTCAGCTCTATCCCTGTTCACCTCCACAAGAACAGGACGGGTAAAGACACCGTAGAAACTGAAGACAACGAATCATCACCAATTCCGGGGGTAGAAATACCGGAGGTGGTGGTAAGAAGCATTAAAGCAGGGGCTACAAAGAGCGAGCATGTTCAAGAAATCAGCATTCTACCTCATGAAAATGAGGACATTGATGACCTCGACATGACCATGCAAAACTTGGCGGAAACGGAAAACTCGGACCGATTCTCTCTGTTGGATATCGATGATGGCCTACTGACAGAGAAGAAAACTAAGGCCTAAATAACATCTATGACCAGTATAAAAATAGCTTAAATAAATCTACATCATGCGAAAGCTGCCTCGGTGGTTATCGCGAGAGCAACACTCAAGAACAACCTGAGTGTAATACTGGTCTAAAAGCCTTGGATTTTCAAAAACCGGGTTTGTGGCTTAGCCACTAAATACATACAGGCAATATGGGATGTCAGATGTGATAACCCCTGGACTTGTATGTTATTGAATAAAAATATTAACTTTCTTTGTCTTTCAGAATTCCTCTCCAGGGACTTATTAGCAGTCCAGATTCCTATCAACATCAATGGGAATCCCAGAAGCATCGTCTTAGCAACTGAATATCTACCAGGTGACGAAACTCAGGTACCACCTGAGGGCATATGCAGGCTGGTGGAATACTGCATGAATAAGAAGCTACCGCTTATACTCGGATGCGACGCTAACGCACATAATGAGGTGTGGGGCAGCACAAATACCAACAAACAGGATGAGTACCTTCTAGAGTTTATTATTAAAAATAAATTAGAAATTATAAATATAGGGAATACACCAACCTTTGTAAATAGGATACGCGAAGAGGTTCTAGATATAAAGCTAGGAAATACTCTAGATAGCGAACTAGTTAAGAATTGGATAGTTTCTAATGAACCATCGATGTCAGACCATAAAATTATAAGATCTTACATTGAAGGAGCACCCCATATCAATAGAATAGCTAGGAATTCTAGGAAAACAGACTGGGAAAAATACCAGAATAACCCAGGAATTAACCTAAGCCAATCAGATATAGGGAGAAATATTCAGCATGTACCAAGGACGTACCTTGGTGGAACAAGAAACTAACGATACCAAGAACAACGGCTCGAAGGCTATTCAACCGATCCAAGCGCACTGGATCCTGGACCGAATATAGAAGCACTCTCACCATCTATAATAAGGAAATTAGGAGAGCATAAAGAGAAAGCTTTAATATGTTCTGTACCAACATAGAATACACGACGGAGGCAAAATATTAATCAGAGAGAAAACACTCTCCTCAACCAATCTTAAAAGAGATGACAATACGTACACGGCAGGTGAGGAAGGAAGGATCCAATTACTTCTCGAGACTCACTTCCCAGGATCCTCCAGCATTGAGGAACAAAAACTGAGAATATCAATTAAGAAGTTTGCCAAACAGCAGATAAAGAAGCCTAGGCTATTGCCAAGCAAAAATGTGTGTTACGACAGCTAGGATCAAATGGGCAGTGAAAACCTTTAAACCATTTAAATCACCTGGCATAGATGGTATACTTCCAGCACTTATTTAACAGGGATTAAAATACCTGCTAACCCCGCTGATGAAGATAACTAGGGCTAGCATTGCGTTTGGGTATATACTAAACGGTTGGAAAAAGGCAAATGCAGTTTTCATACCAAAAACAGGCAAAAAGGATCCACTCCATCCAAAATCCTTCAGACCCATTTGTCTTATATCCTTCATGCTAAAAACATTAGAAAAAGTTGTGGATAACTTTATCAGAACGACAGCACTTGTAACTACCCCTTTACATTCATGCCAACACGCGTACAGGGCGGGGAGATCCACTGAAACCGCTTTGTTTGAGCTGACAAATATGATGGGGGATAGTATTGAGAAGAAGGAAACAACAATATGCGCATTTCTAGATATAGAAGGTGCCTTTGACAATACTTCACATGACGCTATAAACAGAGGAAGAAACTCTACGCTGGCACGGTGGATGAGCAACATGCTTCGAACTAGTTCGGGCCTGATAAAGATGAATACCATACGAGGATGTCCACAAGGTGGGGTTCTCCCACCACTCTTGTGGAGCATACTGGTGGATGAACTACTTCACGAAGTAGGAAACAACGGACTAGCAGTACTAGGTTATGCGGATGACGTAGTCATAACAAGCGGAGGAAAATTTGAAAATACTCTATGTGACAGAATCCAATATGGATTAGAAATCACAAGAAACTGATGCAACAAGATAGGACTGAGTATAAA